AGACAGTTGAAGGGATTAGTTGAATTCTTTAATTTTGTAACAGTTGGTTTTGCTATTTGAAGGGAGAGTTACGTTTTACTATTAAATTCTTTAACTTTATCAGGGAGTGAATTTAACAAATCTTACAATGTTTTTTTGTATAAATTCAGTTTAGTGAAAAGTGTTGTTTATTTAAATAGGTATGTCTTTTCTATATTTAGTTATTATAATCTGAGGTCACAAATATCATAATGAGTGGTTAATTCTTTAATATTTAATTTAAACTATATTTTATTATTATTATTTCAACTTATTCTATGTGAGAGAAAGGATAAGCTGAATTATGTTATCTTAATGTTGGTGGTTGGACAACCAAATCATAATCATTATTTTATGTTTATAATTATTATATTTAAATTACATTTACTTTAACATATTATATTGTAATGTAATTTTACATTTTACTACATATTTATATTTAACATTTATATACGTTATTTTGTACAGTTTATCTTATTTTATTTATTTGATAAATTGATATTCATTATTTAATATGGTGAGACTTGTTTCAAGTTCGGCATATCAAATGAGTTATTTAGTTAGGGAACTTTGTTGACGGGTTCTGGTATGAGGTGGGTGGATACAGCTTAGCTTTGACAGGCGCACCCAATTGCCAATGATTGCCAGGTATCAATTTAGATTGACAAAGAATGGTTAGATAGGGATATTGATATGAAGTTGTTGTTTTATGGTCTTATTCTATTATTATTGATAATCATTTTATTTTGCTATATTTGATTTGCACTGACATGTTTTTATTACTTGATTATACCTGATTGTATTTGTTATTTATGACTGTACAATTAAATTGCATCACCGTTGTCCACTACTACACCACTTGTTATTTATATATTTTATTTATACAAATACCATTTATTATTGTTGCTTGTGACCTAAGTTATATTATACTTTATGTTTCACATTATTGTTGTTTGTTGCTGTACATTGATAATTATTTTCAATGTGTATTTGCTCATCTACACCGTCCGAGCCTACCATTTATGTAGGTGAATAATCTTAGCAATATGATAATATAATTTATTATATTCATATTGATTACTTTGATTTTGTTGTATTATTTATATTGTTGAGATGTGCGACATATATGCATGTCTGTATTGTATATGTGGGTTTTTAAGGTTTTACCTTATTAACTTAAATCAATCATACTTTTCAAATACAAATGTTTTTATTTATATTATGAATGTACAGTAACAATAATTAACTCTTGTATAAATTGCCTTTATTAATAAACTTATTTTAATTTAATACTTTTTCTTTGCTTTTTAAATATCTTTTCAATTGCTCAAGTACTTACGTATCCAGAACCGTATTCACAACAAAAAGGGGTCCTAACTTAATTTCTTTAAACTAGACGATCACGTGTTTTGGCCAAAGGTAGTTTTTTTGTGGTTTTAATATTCTTTTTAATTATTAATGTGTGCCCCCCATGTCCCGTTCGTTACAAATTGGTGCCGTGACCAGGATTTTGCTAATTTATTTATAATTAATGTCAAATAACCAGGATTCGTTTGGTCTAATATTGTTTTTTTATTTTTGTTGATTTGTTCTTGCTAATTCATTCCTAATAACTAGGATTTATTTTATTTGATATTTGTTTTATTTTAGATTGGTGTTATTTTGTTTAACCATTTTTTTTTTGCATGATTTATTTAACCTGAATGTTCGCATGTTATAATTATGAATTGACTTTGCTATGATTTGCTATGTTATGTTATGTTTTGCTATGTCTTGTTATGTTTGCTATGATTTGATATGTTTGCTATTTTTTACTATGTGTTATGTTTTGCCATGTTTTGTTATGTTTGCTATGGTATGTTATATTATAAAATGTTTATTAATGCTATGTTATGTCTTGCTATGTGTTGTTAATTTTTGTTATGTCCGGCTCACGAAAAATTAATACCCTTTTCTAGGATTTTGTATTGTTCATTTAATTTTTAATTTTTATTCGTGTTCCCGTCACTTTATGTCAGGTGATTAGAAGTTTGTCTATTTATTTTAGTTGTATTTTGTATTCCTTGTGTTACCATGTGTCAAGGGTGTTAAAAGTTCTTTTTGTTTATCTCTTGTTTTGCCAAATTGATGATATGGGTTGATTTTGGTCTTGTTGATAGATTTATGATTTTCGCACAGTGTGGTAAAATAATTTTTGTTTATCTGTGTTTAATTTTGTTTCGTTTTCATAAAATACAGAATTCCTGCTTTCCTTATTTTATTTTCAGCCATCTTAATAGTTTGTTTTTTATAGTACCTTCTTGTTAATAATTTTGTCTGGTTTACTACAACATTTGCTGTGCTTTTCAGCACAAATTGTTGCTGCTGACTGGAGGATACGTTCTTAAAAAGTACTGGGCATTTGATTAGATAAATTTTTATTTTTTATGTTATGATTTTACTGCTTTTTTTATTTTTATTTTTATGCAACCACTTTAATTGAATGACGACCTGAGTTTTACCAAGGAATATTTGATGACATAATTACCAAATGTTAAATAATTTTGGAATGTGCTAAACTGGAACTACTGGATGATGAGAACTTCAACTGCAATTGATAGGACTGTCAGGATGATCATGATGTTGGCGATAATCAATGATGATTTAATTTTGATCAGGTGTGTCATGTTTATTTTTATTTTATTTTAAATTTTATTATTAATTTTTGTTTTGTAATTTCTTTCTTTATGTACCGACATTAATTAACATTGTTAACATTATTAACCATTGACATGTTACGGTGACGTTTGACTTTACACTTTTATTGTATATTTTTGACAATGTTTATTTATTTTAAGTTTATTTTCTGATTAGTCTTTCTTTTATTTTTTATGTATTTTAAATGTATTTGATGGGAGCTATGATATACCTATGTGATGACGTATAAATGTGGAGATGCACAGAGAAGGGGCGCACGGTGCGCCGCGCACCCAGCAGATAAGGACCAGTAGTGAGCAGGGGCGCACTCAGCCCAAAGGATCAGCAGTGAGCAGGGACGCACTCAGCCCAAAGGATCAGCAGTGAGCAGGGGCGTACTCAGCCCAAAGGATCAGCAGTGAGCAGGGACGCACTCAGCCCAAAGGACCAGCAGCGAGCAGGGGCGTACTCAGCCCAATATAATATGGAGGACAGGGTCGTATTTAGGTTTAGTTACCAAGGTTTAGGGATGTTAAAAGCTTGACAAGCCTCCTTATGTCATTTGACAACCTTTCAAAGGGGCGTCTGTAATGGTACGATATACGGGGCAGTTAATTTTTAACATTTCTTAATTTATTATTTTAAGGCTTTACGAAATATGAAACTACTTCTAAATATTTAACTTAAAATTGTATCAAGTGGTTATTAGTAACTTAATATTTGGACCCATTCTGTTTATATTATATAATTTATTAGGGCAATATTTAAACTAAGCATTCCAGAGTCTTTGTCAACACGTAATAAAAATAGGGTATAGTACGTCTGACAGAATGATATTTATAAATCACTGTCTAGGTGCTAAGCGTAGACCTACGTGTTGGTGTCTTTAAGCATCCCATACTGCACTAGGGAGACTCACCAAAACCGCACGTATGTCTGAGCCATATCGGTAGACAGAGAAAGTTATCACGTTCCAAATGAACCATATCGATAGGCCTGTGGCTTTGAGAAAATAAACATAAAAAACAGAAAAGCATGTTAAAAACTGAAGGGAGGGTATTTTTTAAAAACAGTGGAGTTTTGTTATTTGAAGTAGACAGTTTGGTTTTGCTATTTGAGCAAGTAGTATATTTTAGACAGTTGAAGGGATTAGTTGAATTCTTTAATTTTGTAACAGTTGGTTTTGCTATTTGAAGGGAGAGTTACGTTTTACTATTAAATTCTTTAACTTTATCAGGGAGTGAATTTAACAAATCTTACAATGTTTTTTTGTATAAATTCAGTTTAGTGAAAAGTGTTGTTTATTTAAATAGGTATGTCTTTTCTATATTTAGTTATTATAATCTGAGGTCACAAATATCATAATGAGTGGTTAATTCTTTAATATTTAATTTAAACTATATTTTATTATTATTATTTCAACTTATTCTATGTGAGAGAAAGGATAAGCTGAATTATGTTATCTTAATGTTGGTGGTTGGACAACCAAATCATAATCATTATTTTATGTTTATAATTATTATATTTAAATTACATTTACTTTAACATATTATATTGTAATGTAATTTTACATTTTACTACATATTTATATTTAACATTTATATACGTTATTTTGTACAGTTTATCTTATTTTATTTATTTGATAAATTGATATTCATTATTTAATATGGTGAGACTTGTTTCAAGTTCGGCATATCAAATGAGTTATTTAGTTAGGGAACTTTGTTGACGGGTTCTGGTATGAGGTGGGTGGATACAGCTTAGCTTTGACAGGCGCACCCAATTGCCAATGATTGCCAGGTATCAATTTAGATTGACAAAGAATGGTTAGATAGGGATATTGATATGAAGTTGTTGTTTTATGGTCTTATTCTATTATTATTGATAATCATTTTATTTTGCTATATTTGATTTGCACTGACATGTTTTTATTACTTGATTAGGGGAACCCGGGGCAGAACGGGGTACTAAGTTGAAAATACCTTTTAAAAGTTCTAAAGGGTTAATTTGGAAAGCTGAAAGATTTTCCATGATAACATTATAATGTAATGATCATAAAAATACAATAAAACTGTAAAAAAAACAGAGTAGAAACTTTTTTTTTACAAAAAAAGAAAGGTATGTCATTTGCCCCATTCTGCCCCGGGCATGGGGCAGAATGGGGTGGTAAGGATAATTAATTTTAAAATCATTAAAAAATAGTTTAAATGCAGACAAACTAAGTTTGTTATAATGTATATTATATTTAATTAGTTTTAAGTGACTACAAAGGTTTGACTTAAATATTCATTGATTTTGTCCTTTTCTCAATCCGATTCACAAAATTCACACACAAGAACAGCCTCATCATCCCCGCTATCAATTCCCGCACAGAAATTGTGTGCCCATTTATTGCACACAGAACAGGCGGCCCAACCATCAATTGACTTTGAATAAAATTCACCACAATACAAACATTCACAGTCAGATAAATCCTCAGAATCGCTTTTGTTAAGTTTGCATTCTCTCTTCAGGTCCTTCTTTTTTCCATTCGTCTTCAGGCACTTTCCTTTATTTTTTTCAGTCTTATTTTTCTTATTTTTACTCTTTTCCAGTTTTGCCCTTGCTCTTTCTTCCTTAGCTAAGTTCTTTTTCGCTTTTTCATTAATAGCGGTTTCCAACTCTTTTTTGTATGGTGAGTCTGTTAAAACTGCAGTCTTTCCCCTCTTTCGATTAGCCCTTTTCACGGTTTCTTTTACTTTTGGAATAGGCATTAGAATTTTTGGTGAAACATGAAATGAAGAGGCCCTGTTATCAGTTGACATCCAAGAGCAGCCAGGAGTGGCACTATCTTCATCAAATCGAACTTTCTTTGCCGGTGTGTGATCCTTAGAGTTGGCTAAATCCTCGCCAGCTTCATCATCCAACCTGAGAGGCATGTGTTTTTCGACTGTTGTGCTAGATGAAGGCAATTCCAGTTGTTCAGCTTCAGGCACGACCTCTTCACTTGCAGGTCTGCCAAGTCCAATATCAGTTGTGTCTGCTGGGAGAAAATCAACGTCGGTAAATATGGATGGGTCAGTTGGCCATATTCCTGTAGCTTGGAATCCATTAATAGCAGTTTTCATTGTTGCGCTTTGGATGAAAGCTGATCCAAAAAGATTTGAAATTTGAAATAGAGTTACGACTTTCCCTGGGTTGCCTCTTAGCCATTTTCTAAGCTCATCGCTGTAATAAAGACTTAAAGGCTTCATAAAAGAAACATCAAGTGGCTGAAGTCGGTGAGAGCAATGTGGCGGTAGACACAGTAACGAAACGCCACTGGCCCTCGCGTAGTCTATAACTTCAAGGTTTTTGGTATGTGTTGAGTGGCCATCTAATATAAGAAGAACCGGGAAGTCCTTTGATGCCTTAGAAAATTTCACAAATTTTTTAAACCATACAAAAAATGATTCAGTAGTCATCCATCCAGTGCTGTGCACCTCAGCCCAACCTCCTGGTGGTAATCCAAACTCAAATTCTTTCTGTTTTTTCTTTCGAGGAAATATAAGCATAGGGGGCATGTAAGCTCCGCTTGCTGACATACAAATAAGGCAGGTTACGGTTTCACCCCTTTCTGCGGATGTTAACGACCCTACTTGACGTTTCCCTTTGCAAGCTATGATCTTTGATTGGTTCTTAGGGTTCACTGAAACGCCCGTTTCGTCGCAATTAAAAATTTGAGAAGCCGTTAGTTTGTGCTTGTCGACTAAATTCGTTAACAACGAAAAAAAACTATCCACAGCTACTTTATTAAAGCCCATGGCTTTTGCACCAGATGTTGCTTCAGGTTTGCGAATGGATAATGGATGTCTTCTAAGGAATCCATTAACCCAATCTTGGCCTGCTATTTCATTTTGAAATCTATGATTAAATCCATTTCTTACAGCTAACTGATAAGCTAAGGTTCTTAAGTCTTTCATCGTTAGACCGAACAACCTAGCTTCCATATTTTTTAAGTATTTAACAAGCTCAAGTTCCTGCTCTACTGTAAAAACCTTTTTAAATTTTCCAGCGGTTTTATCAATAATAAAGTCAGGGTTTTCCCTTTTTTTCTTAACGTATCTTTCCAGTGTAGATTGGGGAACATCAAAATGGTTCGAAGCATTCAAATAACCAAATTCACCAGAAATAACCGCCTCGACCGCATTATTCATTGCCTCAATAGACCATGATTGCCTATTTGTTTTTTTCTTGTATACCCGAACCATCTAAAATCGAAAAAATTAGGAGTTTAATAAAAACGACATCTTAGTTTAAAATTGCGGGGCAGAATGGGGTACCCCATTCCGCCCCACCCGTTCCGCCCCAGCGACACGATTTAGATTTGTGAAGTAAGGTTATAAGAGAAAGGCACGTAAACAATAGTTTAACTACGCCAAACTAAAGGCAATTGAACGTACTTGAATCATATACTAACTACAGTTGTAAAGTAAACAAACATGTATATCTTACCTTGGTTACAAAATCATCAGAAGTTGTAAAACACGAGCAAAAAATCACACAACGAAAACTTCACGCATTAACGCTAAAGAAAAATAGCTAAACATGGCTGACGTTTTAGAGCAGTGACAAGTTGATCTATTTCCACTTATTGCCGCTTGCTGGCATCACCTCCTTGACATCGAAAAACGTCAAACTTCATTCCGCCCCGGTACCCCGTTGTGCCCCGGGTTCCCCTATACCTGATTGTATTTGTTATTTATGACTGTACAATTAAATTGCATCACCGTTGTCCACTACTACACCACTTGTTATTTATATATTTTATTTATACAAATACCATTTATTATTGTTGCTTGTGACCTAAGTTATATTATACTTTATGTTTCACATTATTGTTGTTTGTTGCTGTACATTGATAATTATTTCAATGTGTATTTGTTTTTCTACACCGTCCGAGCCTACCATTTATGTAGGTGAATAATCTTAGCAATATGATAATATAATTTATTATATTCATATTGATTACTTTGATTTTGTTGTATTATTTATATTGTTGAGATGTGCGACATATATGCATGTCTGTATTGTATATGTGGGTTTTTAAGGTTTTACCTTATTAACTTAAATCAATCATACTTTTCAAATACAAATGTTTTTATTTATATTATGAATGTACAGTAACAATAATTAACTCTTGTATAAATTGCCTTTATTAATAAACTTATTTTAATTTAATACTTTTTCTTTGCTTTTTAAATATCTTTTCAATTGCTCAAGTACTTACGTATCCAGAACCGTATTCACAACAAAAAGGGGTCCTAACTTAATTTCTTTAAACTAGACGATCACGTGTTTTGGCCAAAGGTAGTTTTTTTTGTGGTTTTAATATTCTTTTTAATTATTAATGTGTGCCCCCCATGTCGAAGCCAATTCGCATTGAATAATTTGCGCCGAAATCCGCTTAATATTTTAATAAATAAATGTATTTTTTGTCAAATGCACTTGTATTTAGGTAATAATTACATTCTATAAATTTTCTTTGAGTGCATGTGGCAAAATATACATTTCTATTAAAATATTGGATTTTGCTGCAAATTATTGATTGCGAATTTGCCTTGGTGTAATTGTTCTATCAAATTTACAGTTTTTTTTTATCGATCCTCTACACTGTAAATTTGAAAAATTACAGAAAGGACATGTAACAAGGATGGAGCGTTTTAAAGATCTGTTATGTAAATTTGACAATAATATTAAAAAAATAAATATGTAACAACTTTGATAACACAAATTAGAACAAATAAAATGCCAGTATTCCATAGTTACGCATTTTATCATAGCGACAATATTTTTTATCACCGTTTACACGTTGCTAAGGATTTTGACACTTTTCTTGATTTGACATTTGTTGACATTTAAATACTGTGTTTGTTAAATGATTAAAATAATGAATTATAAACTCTAAAAGATCGATGGGTTGGTGTAAACGATAATTAAATGTAAGTAAGTTTAAATAAATAAGGTTTATTAAAGTCTTTTTATATTTTAAGCACATTTTAATTTCAAATGTCAAACTGACAATTCGTTAAATCCTAAAATTTATTATATTTTCTCACTAAATATAACTCGTGGTATGATTAATTCGATGATATTTACTCATTGAAACCGAAGCAGCACTCATACCACTTGTTATATTATGGGTGACAATATTATTAGTGTCGTATTTACATGTTTCTTTAAAATTTTGTAACATTTATATAACAGCAATGTCAGTTGAGGTGGTCATTGTTTAGAACTATTATTATGTTTTGTAGGGTTTTTTTTTCAAAAATTCTGGGCATTTGGAAATTGGGTGAATGAGATTACACAAAGAACAATTATTATTTTGCGCACCCGTTTTTGTATTCACTACTAACGATGTATGTTTTGCGGGAAATTTGCTGACAGGAAGAACTATTTGTTGCAAATTGTTTAGGAGAATATGTATCTATGGATTCAAATGCATGTCTATGATTTTGCTTTTAATGACTTAAAACTATATATCATTTAACTGTTGTTGTCTTTCAAAGCGTTGTCTTATGAAAATATCCAGATTAGACAATAACAAGTGGAAAAGTACAAAGTCCCATGTTTTGTAGGTAAACCAAGGTTTTCTATAATATTATATTCTCAGAAAATACGTCCAGCAGTCTTTCATACGATCTATGATTTTCTGATGTCAATTTTACCGATAGCAATTCTTCGTTTATTTTGATATTTTTCTACGAGTGTTGTGTACGCTTCTTAATAGTTTTTTTCGCTACGGGGGAACGCATTTAACAATGAAAGCGGCTCACCGGCTAAACCAGATATCAAATACTGAAATTTCTCAACAGCGCTCAGATAAGTATATACCGTACCTTCATTTGCAAGCTAACCATAGGGAAAATACATTGTAACTGGACCAGATAAGTCGCAGTCAACACAAAGCGAGAACCTTTTCAGAAATGATTTGGATGCATCGTCGAGACATGCGTACTAAAACAAATTTTACCAGATTTACACCACACAAAATAAAAAACAATAATAAAGCATCGATGTATGAAGCAAGGTCAACTGTTACGGCGCATGCTAGCCTACTCGTCCAGGCGTCCAAATCATTTCTACAACGTTTTTCGCTTCGTGCTGACTAAGACTTATCTGGTCCAGTTACAATGTATTTTCCCTATGGTTAGCTTGCAAATGAAGGTACGGTATGTTAAAGTTGATTATACAATTACTAAAATGTAGGCCAAAGTTTTAAATTAGTAGCATCGAACTTTGGCAAATCTATTTTTGGTAACTTAACATTTAAGACAGGAGCAGAGGAATTGGGCACTTGTTTATTAACAACCAATATTTTATAAGCATTATTACATTGACTATTTCCCTCGTCTTAATTTCCACCAATCACAAACGCGCAATTTTGAATTACAAATGGTTTCTAGGTGAAAAAACTGTGTGACAGCACCTGTCAGTAGTTTATTCGAGTTTACCCGCGGCAAAACTTGACAGCTGTTGTCACCAAAAATTGCAATTTATATTTTAATTGTTAACTGTTACTCATGAAATAGTCTTGTCAAATACCATTCGGGCATCTAATTTTTCCTGTGAAAAAAATCGAAAAAACACAATGCTAAGTAATATTTTTTGACAAAATGCATTCTTGCAGGTGCAAAAATCCTCCTCTTCGACTCGGATTTTTGTTGCCACCAGCACTCATGCTTTTTGTTAAAATATTACTTAGCAACGTGTTTTTTCGATTCTTTTCGGAAAAATTAAATGCCCTTATAATATTACTTACGACTATTTCCCTCGTCTTAATTTCCATCAATCAAAAACGCGCAATTACAAATGGTTTCTAGGTGGAAAAACTGTATGACAGCACCTGTCAGCAGTTTTTTCGAGTTTACCCGCGGCAAAACTTGACAGCTGTTGTCACCAAAATTGCAATTTATATATTGTACCATAAATAATTAAGTTTGTAGTATTTTGTGATTAAATAAATTACCTATTTTTCAGTTTTAAAATTAAAACCTACATATTTATTATGTTTGCATGCATAATAGGTAGTATATTTTGTAAGCTATGTGTATGCAGAATAACTGTTACTCATGAAATCGAAAAATCGAAAAAACACAATGCCAAGTAATATTTTTAAACAAAATGCATTCGTGCAGGTGCAAAAATCCTCGTCTTAGACTCTTATTTTTGTTGCCACCAGCACTCATGCTTCTTGTTAAAATATTACTTAGCAACGTGTTTTTTCGTAAGTAATATCATTTTTAAATAGCATTTAATTTTTCTGAAAAGAATCGAAAAAGCACGTTGCTAAGTAATATTTTAACAAAAAGCATGAGTGCTGGTGGCAACAAAAATCCGAGTCGAAGAGGAGGATTTTTGCACCTGCACGAATGCATTTTGTTAAAAAATATTACTTAGCATTGTGTTTTTTCGAATTTTTTCACAGGAAAAATTAGATGCCCGAATGGTATTTGACAAGACTATTTCATGAGTAACAGTTAACAATTAAAATATAAATTGCAATTTTTGGTGACAACAGCTGTCAAGTTTTGCCGCGGGAAACTCGAATAAACTGCTGACAGGTGCTGTCACACAGTTTTTTCACCTAGAAACCATTTGTAATTCAAAATTGCGCGTTTGTGATTGGTGGAAATTAAGACGAGGGAAATAGTCGGTATTACATACGAAAATACAATCGTCTGCTTGAACTCTGTACTCGCCTTGCATTTTTATTTCTTTTTTTAAACAAGGGCTTCTAACACTTCAAAATGACACCACTCAAACTCCTTCATAACCTGAGACAGCCGTGCAAATCGCGTTTTAAAATCAATAAGTTTATTAGCTGCTTCAGAGTACTCTGATATAGATTTAATTCTACTTAGAGCCGTAGATCTTTTTTCAATGGCGGAAATAATTAAGAATTAATTATGTTAGTACAAAGGGTAAAACTGTCTAGTTCCGAATGAACACTATTGCAATAACAATATTTTGCATTGACCGCGCCACCATACAAGAGTGGAAACTATAATATTAATAGGAGGTGGTGCATCGCGCACGACGAATTTAAACAAATGCAATAAAAACTAAGAGTAATATAAAAACTACTATAAAAAACTACACGTATATTCCAAACCAATTTTCCATACTAAAAATGTTTAGGGCTGGTACGAAAAAAAATAAGTGTATTGTAATTTGTAAGGAACTGCGTCCTACCTTTTTTCTAATGTGCTGATGTTGGTTGCAACCTTTCTTTCTTTCTTCTTTGTGTTAGAACACACTTGGGTTGAGGGGATGAATTTAAGGGAATTAGGAATTTTAACTAGTTCTTAACAATTTTAACTAACTATCACGACTTAGTAAACCGAGATTCTCGGGCTTATTCTGCGTACTAACTACCGGCAAAAAACTATTTACAAAAAAAAAACTTAAAACAACATTTATCGCGGTTAATTTAAATTAAACATTTTAACCGTACATAAACATTTTCTATAACCGAATCAAAACTAGTTTGCCGAAAATGGTATAGTCAAATCAATCATTTATCAATGCAATTATAAAATATGAGTTTTTATAAAAAATCCTTGGTAAACGTCGCAATTTGTTCCATTTAAGTAAAAATAGTTTTGTTGAAGACGTGTCGTATAAATAAAGGTTTAAATATATTTGGAGCCGTTATTTACCTTGCTTGAGATCTCCTAGAGTGTCGACGAGCACGTCACATTGCAACGCCTCCCATTCGTCTTTTCCGGCCAGGCCGAATTGCTTGGCCAAGTATCGGGCCACCGCGTTGCTCTGCGCTATCGCCTTGCCATCAATCTCTAGCACCGGAAGCATCCCGAACGGCGTCCCTGGAAATCGAAACCAATTATCACTAGGAAGAACGATTTCACGATTCAAATGACTTAAATATACCTACTTCTTTTATGTAGTACAATAATTGTTTAAACTAGTTTTTAAATTTAATTTTAAACCCAATATTTTTTTATTTATTATTTGTTAATTTTAGAAAAGAACAATAATTGTTGTATAATATACATTTTAAGGTACTTTTGGTATATCGATTGTGTATTTGTTTAGTGTTTATGACTAATTACTAATTTCGTTTGTTGTGCTCTTAGGCCGTTTAATAAATAAAGACAAATGGATTATGAGACGTGGGAGTGGTGGAGTGACCTAAGAGTGGTGGGGCAGGCCTGACGAGAGAATGTGTTGTAAGTAAGCGGAAGTACGTTTGTTATAAATTAGAAAATATTCTCTAATAAAAATGGTTTACACCCTTGAAGAAAAGATTCAATGTTTAACGAGGCATTTAAATGGGATCTCAGATCGAGAAATTCAAAGATTATTTCCAAATATGTTCCCAAATAGACCCTTACCAGCAAGGGCAACAATTCAAAATGTTGTAAATAATTTTTTAACATTCGGCAGTGTTAATAGGGTTCATAATAGGGAACCGCAAGCAAGGCAAATAAATGAAGAACGCGAATTACGGGACACTTTAATTTGTGCAAGCTTCCAACAATATCCAACCCAGAGAACCAGACAAGTTGCCGAACAGTTCGATCTATCACGGGCTATGGTAGGCAAAATTTTAAGAAAGCATGGGTATCATACAAATTAAAGAGGGGTAATGAGCTATTTCCTGATGATCCATACCGTCGCATGGAATTGGAAATGGCGAACCGGGATGAAAATTTCACACGAAATATCCTTTTTACCGATGAGTCGTCATTTTTTATACATGGTAGGCATAATTCCATGAACTATCGGTATTGGTTCAGGACCAATCCTCATCAGCATTATCCTGCCAATACTCAAGGACCACAAAAATTAAATGTTTGGTGTGGAATGCTGGGAGACCATATTATAGATCCATTTTTTATAGATGGTACCTTAAATGGTCAAAGTATCTTGAACTGCTGCAAAATGAAATTGTTCCCGCAGTTCGTGGTCTGCCTGTGCCTTTTGAGTCGGTATGGTTTCAACAGGATGGGTGTCCCGCACATAATACCCTATTGGTAAGAGAATATTTGCAAGACACTTTTGCAGAACGCATAATAAGTGGTCACGGAAATATTCTCTGGCCAGCAAGATCACCGGACTTAGCTCCATGCGATTTTCTTATGTGGGGATATGCCAAATCCAAAATGTACGGATTCCAGCATATCAGGGCAAATAACCTTAATGAATTAAGAGAATTAATAATTAATACATTAAGGAATATCAGACATGAGATGCTGTCAAATGTACGACAAAATTTTTATAATAGGTTTACCTATTGTACAGCAGCGTTTAGTGGCCTATTTGAACATTTACTTTATTTTTTTTTATTTAAACATTTTAGAATACCATTTTTGTTTAAGAATATTTTTTTTTATTACAAGAACACTATCTTATTTTTCACATTTTCGAAAAAAATTCAATAAGTATTCGTTTTTGTAAACAAAATTATATGATTAAATTTTAAAGGATATTTAAAATTCCTCCGACAGCACTCCAACGTGGACGGAGTAATACTGAAATTATATCGAGACCATAGACAAAAGAAAATCTTCCATGATCAAGACTCGAATCGATCTTATGTAGTATCATGCTATCGAGTCACTCGATAGCATGATACTACATAAGATTGGTTACCAGTCACTGGTAATCCGTCGCACCGCTTAAAAGCGGACCGGTTTCAAGGCACTGCGGCCGGTGAAAGAGATAGCGATGGAAAGGGCTTGTGGCCGACTGAAATCCATATAACTTTATAGTAAAAAGCTTGATTTGAACGTTTATTAATCATTTTTATTGAAGGAAAATGCACTGCATTAATATTTTTAAATAATATCATCTTAAAAACAGTTAAATTGATTTAATAAATTACTTTTTCTACTCCTATTACGGAATTTGACCGTTCTAATATCACTTTTATATGTGGATTGACATATTCCGTAAAGTGTTAGAGAATGAAATATTCTATCATCGGATGACAGAATAAACACTCGTGGCGACATTTCTGTTTTCTAACAAATTTTAGACCGATCCAACCTCACTTTCTTCCAATTAAATTATTTTTCTGTGGTATTTTTTGGAAACGTAGAAAAAGAATAGTCTAAAACACGTTTGGAATTGCATATTCCGCTCTCGTGAAACCGTCAAACTCGCCTTCGGTTCGTGTGACAAACTCTTCACTCGAGCGGAATATGCTGTATTCCAAACTTATTACAGAATATACTATTATTCATTAATATCAGTAAAACTTGTAAAAGAGGAAAATATAGTAAAACAATGATTTAAGTAATACGAGTTATCTACTTTATGCACAATTACCTATCAATACTAATTTATCAACAAAACTTTATTTATTAGCATGAGGTAATAAAAATTATAAATAGCAAATCAAATTTAAACTGATACCTAAATAGAGTGAGTCGAATATACGCCTTTTTTCGAAATTAATTTGGTAATGGCAATAATAATAATCTTTGAGGTAGAACAAATTATTTGCAAAGATAAACAATTTTTGGACAACATCTTAAAACTTTAAATTTATGTAAAAAAAATTTATCTCACACAAAATAATTTCGAAAGAAAATTTAAAGGCAATTCAGGACATATAAATTTATTAAAAAGCTCGTTAAAAAGACTTTGATGAGTTTCAAAAATATTAACATTCATAAAATTCATAAAAGGAGCTAGAAAATATACGAATTCGTATTCCTTAAGGAATATATTTTCCAAGTTTGCTTTTTTCACGTTGGTAGTATCACCTAACTTATTTGTTTATTTGTTTGGTCTTAACACAATTTTGAAAAAACAGAAAAAAACAATATTTTTTTTGTAAAACTAAAATTTTCCACGATTTTTTTTGCATTTTTTTATTTATTAGCTTTATTAGTTTTCTTATAATTTAAACTTATAATTTAGGTAAACGACATCGAAAAATGTTTTTTTACCAAAATTGTTTTTAGAATGAAAAAAAATAATTTAGATTATACCCAAGTGAAAAAGTCGACTTGAGAAATAACGGACACCCTGATTACATTGATGATTCTTGCTTAGATTTTCGTCTATTTTTTGACGCTTTTTCTCAACTGAAGACTGTTTAATAAATATCCTTCGCTTTTTGACCGCTTTATAGAGATAGGTGGGAGATTGCAATAATTGCAATAAATAAATAATTTTTTAACATACATATTATATTCAAATTGTTTTAAAATTAAGTAATGTTTCAAACATGTTTGTCAACTTAAATACCGTATGTATATTTTAAATATAGTTACAGTTATACTTAAAATTAATGTTTCAATTAAAGATCATTTATAATTGTATTTAAATTTTAATATTTAAATTAAATAAAGCAATTGTTTAATTTCTTAAACATGCATTAATATTGATTAAAATGTTTCGTAATATTACGTATATAACTTAAAAATATCGTTTACATTTTTATGCGTGTACGACGCGTTTATTTTGTTCCAGGAAACTTTATCCTGTTATTTTATTTACGTTATTGTTGGGGCACCATTATTTCCTAGTCTTATCATGCTAGTTTAGTGTATTTATTACCTTATTTAATTGTCAAATATTTATCCTCGTCGCCAATATGTAGTGTCCACTTTACTCTTAGTTTGGTATAAATAAAACATTATTTATTCCTAATTCGTATACGAATTAGGAATATATACAGGGATATTCTTAAAAATTCATAATTATTATGAATTTTTAAGAATATCGTTATAAATGAGTTTAATAAATAAGTTTTATGTGTGTTCCCATTATAAAATAAAGGTAATACATTGATTTAATAACCTACTTTTGATACTTTGACGATTTAATTGAAACTTATTATCAAAGACCGGATTTTAGGCCGTTAAAAATTGGAAATTAGGACATAAATAGGCAAAAAAAACCTACATTTTAGGCCGATAATAATTGTAACGCTTATAATTATTTCTAATTTGATATTAATATAACCTATGCTAATAACACGCAAAGCAGACTCAGTATGCGGCGCAGAGCACAGAACAATATGCGCAGACTGCGCCGCAGACAACGCATAGCGGAAAGGTGAGGGCAGAAACAATTCGTATGAGTTCACGGCTTCGTTGGAACAGGAGGGTACCTATCAAATGTTAATTTAATAAATCGAAGTATAAACAATTAAATAATAATATTATTTATTTATTTAATTTTATACCTCAATTTTTTTAACATGTGGGTAATAGGTTTTTTGCTTACGCATGTCGAAGCCAATCGGGTGCCCCTCTTAGCCGGGGGCCCTGTATCATTGATACGGCTGATACCGCGGTAGCTACGCCCCTGATACCATATGTACTATAGTACAGGTTGCTATATTTTATTTGTTAATAATTTGCTAAATTAATTGGTTAAATCAACAAATTCAATTAACAAATATATTATATTACATACATTTTGCTAAAACAACGATTTAAATTGATAATTTATCTTTTTATCAAAGTATTTTGTAAATTTAAAAATTTAATTATATATTTAATTGAATTGTATATTAACAAACGTAATTTAACAACTTTGAAATGCAAAATATTTTACTATAGCATACTTACTATAACAGCAAAAAAGTGGACCTCTTGGAATAAACTTTTTTTTATTGTGTAGGTATGTTAAAACCTTACCATCTTGGCACAGCTTTTGCAAAATATTTGGGTGTCATCGCACTGATTTGGCTAAAATATTTTATTTTTGTCCAGCTCCTACAACCACCCTGAAACCTTTATCCCTGCTTTGGCCTTAGGCATTTCTAGGATTACTAAAATAAATTGTTGGCAATATTAGTAGTTTTTGTAAGTGAAATACCTTTTATTTAA